GAAGAAATTGAAAGTGAAATTTGCTGTGTGGCAAATTACTGGGAGGCAGTTTTTTTTTTTTCTCACGCTAATCAGGCTGTTTGCTGCAAGGAGGCAAGTCAACAACTATAAATGCCTATCGAAGGTTCAAATCATTAGGCTTATTTTTTAAAGACTGCTTTATTATTCTAGACAATTTAACAAAATGAAGAAGCTTTTTAAAATAAATGCTTGATCTGAAGAGGCCCCGTGCTATTTTTTAAAAAAGTCCTATTCTTTTAAATAGCAGAGAATAACTATACTTCCAGAAAGCACATCAATTTTAACAGCATCTGTACAAGTATAGTCTGAAATATAACACTGCTAGCAGTGTGTATTGTCTGTACTGTTTGTTGCAAGGAGGCAAATTGCTGGGAGGCAGAGGCAGATATTTTTCCCTTGTTTGCCTCTTCAAAATCTACGTGCATCTTATACTCCGGAATGTCTTATACACCGAAAAATATGGTAATTCATGTAGCAATCATAATTTGCTTTGTTATAATTTGTTTTGTTGTGTTTTACATAGTTTTGTGTATCAATGAACTCCAAAATAGTTATTGTTTATGAGGCCGAATTGTATTAACTATGTTATCCTAATTTGCTCATCAAACAAGTTAAAATGCAATGATTGGCTAAAATACAGATTTTTTAAATCTCTAGATTATTGTATTATGTTCCCACAGGACTACCCTTAATGAACTTTTGGAGATTTTAACTTGTGTAGAAATTTACAGTTAATAACAATCAGAGTTTGGGAAGTGCCGATTTGGGAATTAAAATTATCCTACTCACAGTGAAAGCATATATTGAATTTTTCATTACCAATAAGCCAACAGCCCCCTTTTTTTTCTGTAATAGGTTTCCTAGAAAAACATATGGTAGTAACAAGCAACTTACTGGGATGCCCAAGCTCCATTAAAGTCTATACTACAAAAGACAGCAAAGTACCAACAAGCTGTTTTGCAGCTGACAACTGGAAATGTGAAAGTAAAAAGGGAGGGGAGCTCTGAATCATCCTTATAGAAAGCACTGCCATGAGGAATTTGGCAGAGTCTGGCTTATAGAACATTTTACTCCAGTACTGTTTTATTTTACAATAGCTGCCTACTCAATTATTCCAAATGCTGGTTAGTACTTTAAACTCTAATCAACATAGTATAATTTCCTTCTGCACATAATACAGTAATCACTCAATCAAGCATCTGAAGTGCAACTCTGTAAGACCACATTTACAAATGGTAATGTGTAAATGGTAGAGGCATTATGAGCTTGTTTTTTCTAGTAGTACATTGGTACTACTGAATCTTCTCCAAGGAAGCCCTTGTTCCAAGGCTAAACCAAACTAAATTTTAAAGAAAAGAACAAATTAAAAAGAGGTAAAAATGTTCTGGTTGAATAACACCCAACTCCCAATGATGATGCCTTGGTAGTTTTCCAATCAATTAACTAAGCTTGAATAGTTCAGCTTCTCAGCCCAAGTAAGGTCAGCCAAATGCTGCTCATGCGAAGCTTAAAATTAAAAAAGACCCTTTGGAAGTAGCCAATTTCTCTTCTTACGCCTTTTCTGCTTTTCTAATAGCACTATTCGCATATGTTTAATTATTGTGACTTCTTTTCTATAATATGGTTTCTATAATATTGTTACATTATTTTTACTGGGTTATTGATGAACTGATTTTAATATTTGTAGTTTGCTGTTTCTTGAAATGATTTTGGTGCCTGTTTTTGTTTTACTTGAAAAGCAGAATAAGAAATATTTTTAGTCCCAACATAAAAGATACTTGTAAAGCCAAAGTAGTTGCATTCAATTCTGTTTCCAATTGACAAAAAGGGTTAGTAAGCCAACACTAAGAAGGACAAATTTTAAGTTCTTTTTTTTTAAAATCCCTTTACTGGTTCTGTTGCTTTATGCATTAACTAAATGTCCACATACAAAATCATTCATGAAACTAAGCTGCAACATGCACTGCACCTTATGAGATTCATAAGCAAAATTACACAATGGCCTGGTTAATATCTAAACAATAATGTGATTTTATTGTTTTGGGTTTAGCTTGATGTGTAAACCGATTCTTCATATTCTATATGCAAATTAGACCAGCACACCTTGTTCAACCAAATAGTTAAAAATCCTGACTTAGCATGCATTTATTAGGCCAAAGTGTTTACTATTCTCTCCCTCTTTCACACACACTCACACATAAACATACAAATCAGGGCTAACCAAATCTTAGAAGCAATTTGGTTATCAGCATTTTCAGGCTGTTCAAGAACTTAAGCATATTTAAAAAGTTAAGTCATTATACTATTTTTGTCTGTTGAACTAAAGCATGAAGCAGTATGCTCTTTTTCTTAGCTCAGTAACAGCTAGCAAGTTTATCACATTATCCCTTTAGGCTATATAGGAATGTCAATTTAATCCTTGTGTCTAACATACCCTTTGAAATCTCCAGCAAAGTTTCCAGCCTTACCAACTTCCAACAATTCAGGACCAGAAATTCCAATACACTTGAATAGGATTAAAATGCTGAATTGTCAATGGACTGCTAATGCATGATGTGGCATATTTGTCTCTTTTTTAGATGTTCTATATTCTTGGTGCATTCTTATAATAATTACAGCTAACCATATCAAAGATTGGATGTGGATACTCATTCACCCAGCTCAGCATTTCAAGCACCCCAGCAACCACCTGCCATTTCAAAAGCTAAACTTGCAGATTGAAAAATATTTCTTGCATTCAGGAAGAAAAGTAGGCAAACATTGAGAAGAGAATTTGGACAATGAGTCTTTTAAAACCTTTCTCTCAGACACACTAATTCTAGTTTTCCATAACTTAAGATATATAGATTGAATCCAAAAATACTTTCAGAGAATAGGTAATGGAAGATAGACATTAGTAAACTGATATTCATTAATTTTTAGGAAACTAGCCATGGATATGGTCTCTTGTCATCAGCTAGCTAGAAAATGCAGTCCCATTTGACTTTTCCTTTTCTATATTAGAATACAGTTTGGGAAATTTCAGTATAATTTTGGTTTTCTATTTTTATTGCAACTACTTTTGTTGATTTGCTTTTCTATATTCCTAGGATGTCAGAAGAATTTTACCTGACATCAGCTCATGTATTACAATAAGCCAAAACATTGAGGTATTAAAATTGTTTGCTTTTCTGGTGTCCTAGTGAGAAAGCTAACACCATTATTAATTATCAGTAGCAGCTGCTTCTTTAGGAACTAAATTGGAACACCATATACAATAGAAATAATTAGGTTAAAACAGGCAGTTGAATAGAACAGGCTGGAAAAAAAGTTGAGATTTTTTTTAAAAAAACCTCTAGAGTATTATTTTCAGTACAGCAATCAGCTGATGCCCCCTACATGAAGGACAGCTAAACAAACGCAGGTTATAACCCTGTTTTATATAATTAGTAACTCTCTGTCAAGTCACACTGTAATTCAAATTCAAGTGCTGCATAAATCACTTAATTATAAACTCAGAACAATTAGGGCCTAGGAAAATTGTTCCACTTTGTATCTTTAAGAAAAAAAGCTTTAAATATGGAGTCTAGGGCGTTCAGCACCAAAGACTCTATCAGATGAAGTCTGCTGTAGTCAAAATATAGACAGTAACATCCAAAATCTCTTCAGAATGCTCTATGGCCTCCATTCATCAAACAAAAGCTACGGGAAAACACTCTCACCATCTTACTAAAGGTCCTGTGAAACACTTTAAAGTGCTTTGTGCTGGAGAACTGCAGTATCCCAGGTTATTTCAGGATACATCCTCACCTCAGGAAGCCTATGAATTAGAATAAGCAATATTTATTCAAGTTATTGGAGACCATGATTCTACCACTATCACAGATTGTATACCATACCTGTTATTTGACCATTTAAAAGGAGTATAGTATTCCTAAAGTATGTAATAAATAATACAAACCTTATACTGGACACCTATTTGTAGAGGAGAATGAAAATTCCCAGCATGCTGAAAGGATTTTGATAAGATTTATTCCCTCTCAAAATAAAGGGGACAAACAGTAGAAAGTTGCAAGGATCTAAGTCATCCTCCCAAAATGCAAAGCAATGTTTTCTCTACTTGCCCAGAATATAAAAAACAGAAAGGGTTTAAAGAAAACTAAAATATTCTGAAAGCTTCTGAAGATGAGGATTAAAAGCAAACCCTCAACTACAGTTCCAGCAATCATCATGACTTTTCACTGACCACACACACATTGCAAGACAAATTTCACATTTACATGCTAGCCTTCTTTAGACACATAGTAGCATATTTTTATTCAACTTTTCCTTATATGGTAAGCTGAATGGTTATGGGAACCTAGGTAGTCTTAAAGCCAAGTGAAGATTTAAAATCAAATATCATCAGTCTAAATCCAAACTACCTCAGGAATCAGCAATCTTTTCAGTACCAGGCACCATTATGCAAAAGCAGGGGCACATACAAGTATGATTTTAAAGTGGGACAGAATCTAATCCTTACATCCACATATATACACACCTTCTCTACAAGAGATGCCATTTACAGATGCTGCAGACTCTTTGGCTGTTGCCACGTTGCGAAATCTTATGTAAGCTACCATATTGTATCAATTATCAACATGAAATTAATTGAAATTACCATTTGGTATCAACATAGCACTATTATATTTTCTGTCCCTACTATTACTATGTCTTCTGACACACACATTATTTTAAAGGTCACAAGAACAAATGTAACCAGCACAAAAAAAAAACCCTACTAAAGCTGACAACTAATAAAATATTTCAAATCTTAACATTAAGTCGTAGAAACAGGCGCAGAGCAGCGATTTCTATCTTGATCTGGAAATATTTATTTCTCAAGTAAAAATATTGAAAAATATTTGAATATCTCTCAAAATTCCAATGAAATAACATTCTAATCAAATAACAAAATTCTGATCAAATAACAGCTATAGTTCCTACCTCTGCTGTTTGGCCTCCTGTCCTCTGGGATGTCTGCTTCTCATTGAACTCAGGAAAGGCTTTCCCCTTAGAAATTTCTTACATCACAGGATTCAAGCTCTGGAAAAATGCAAAATTCACAGATCAGGAAAAGAGCTTTAGCCTGTATAAACTTGGAATATTACATTCCATCAATAGTTCAAATAGTACTATCATCATTAGCTCTGGTATGTGACGTCACATATTGAAATATATCTGTTTTTACATTCATAACAATTATTGAAGATACAGAATCTCCAGTATTAAGAAACACTGTTTCCGGATGCTTTCCTAATATCAGTATTTTACTTTGGGGGTGTCATGAATTCTCCATTAAATCACTAAAATATTAATCAGAGCTGATTATCAAGACATATATTTTATTTATTTAGTGAATTTATATCCCACTACAACATAAGGAGAATCTTGGCAGTTGCTTTGATATACCCAAAGCAAAGAAGAACTGAGGAACAGTCTAGATTTAAAGAGGAAGAAATTATTCAGAGTATCCAGGGCATTCACACAACACCTGTCAACAACTCCTAAAGAATTTGCATCCTTTTAAAGAGGTGCTACCTAATTGCAACATGTGCGCACTCACTCACTTGAAATCAGCTTTCCCTCTTCAGTTCTGCCTGCCTGCCCAGTGCTACAAAGAAATAACATACAATGCTTGCATCTCCTTTCCCCACAGCATTTATAGCTGCTCCCAAGCAAGATTTCATTTGGCAAATGCTGAGTCATATACATAGGATTTTATGAGAGACCCTAATGAAACATCTATGAATGATTCTCCCAAAACCCTTCTGAAACATTTTGGATGAAATATTTTATTTTAGAATGAGAAATTAAATATTTAAGGTAAGGTAAATTCCAAATTCATTGGAGAAGGCAATGATACTAGGAATGGACAAATTAGCGGCAAGCAAAGATCACACTGGCTCGGTAACATCAAATCTGATACAAAGTTGAACATTCAACAATTGAAAGAAGCTGTGCTTGATAGGGTAGCCTGGAGAGCACTGCCTATAAAGTCACCAAGAGTTGGACACGATTACATGGTTAAAAACATTTTTAAAAAATCCATATAGTCATCAGGGATCAACTCAGTAGAATATGTTGATTTCAGAATTTAGGGAAGCAGATTTGATTATGTAGATCCCAGTGGACTTAATCTTACCTGGATGGAATTATAAGAATGAGTATAACAAGCACATCTTTGTTGACCTGCTTGCCTGTGAAACAATGTAGATCTGGCAATTGGAAGGGATCAAAGAATTGTTGAAAGGATAAAAGACAATTCGGTTCTGAAAAAGGGTACACTAGCATGAGAAAGAAACTCAAAACAGCTGCACCTTAACTTTGTTTAGTATAAAGTGGGACAGACAGACACTCTGACAAGTTTTTATTGTTATGTTATGCTATGCTATTCCATGCTATGCTATTCCATGCTATGCTATGCTATGCTATGCTATGCTATGCTATTCCCAGCTTTTTGAGGTAGGGCAAGACCAAAAAAAGAGAAGCAGCATGAATTCCAAAAATACCCTTTATTCCTGTAGGGTAAAGTAACAGAATTTTGAAATTCATGACTAAGAATTTCCATCTTTTAGCTGCTACAAGTAACTACTCTGACATTTCTAGTAGTATTGAAAAGGGGATGCTTGCCTTCCTCATGCATCCCACACATACTGTATGAACTTTATATAAAGAAAGAAATATAACATATTCCCTCATGCACCTAACTGCAGCTTTAAAAAAATAGGCTGTGAAGCTGGCATTTCTGGTAAACAATATAAGCTTACCATTTCCACCATCACTTTTATTAATTTCCAAAACCTGCTAATCAATTTTTGCTTTGTTTTATAAAAATATTTTGTCTACTTGGGCGAAGGTCATAAAATATAATTTTCCTGGATAATCATGGACAAATAATACATTGAGGGCTATCAACAGCAGGCCCAGAATATCATTAAGAACTGCTAATTCAAGAAATGAAAAATATTAGTGAAAAGCACCGTTGTTTTGTCTAATAACTAACCTGGCTTTTCTCACAGATTAATTTTAAGTGAAATTAAACATGACTTTTCAATCACATCTATCATTGAAACAGTGTGAGAAAATCAAAAGTAAATTCTGTAAATTATGAGATCCTACCCTGATGTTAATGAATATAAGCCTCAATAAGATTAACAATCTACTCCTATTCATGTATACTACTCTTTAAATTCAGTAAAAATTTCCTATGCTCAAGCAAGATATGATAATATCAAGTTGTTGAAAGTCACCAAGAAAAATAATCTGTGCAACGAAGCATCTAGAACTGGGGTGTCAAACTCAATTTCATTGAGGGCCACATCAGGGTTGTGTTTGACCTTGGGGGGCCTGGGTGGGCATCACCAGGGTGGGCATGTCCAGCTCAATGTCACTCGTGTTGGGGGCACCTGTGGAGGTCCAAGCACTCTATCAGCAAAAATGGGCTCCCAAGCTCCGTTTTTGACTGCAACAACCTCCTGCAACCCTGTCAGCGAAAATGGAGCTCAGGAGGCACCACAGCTCGGTCCTCTGCTGTTTCCAGGGCAACCCCGTGGCCAGATCTAAACACGCTGCAGTCTGACCCACCCGGGCCTTGAATTTGACAGTTCTTATCTAGAACTTGCCGAAATATTCTTGAACCAGATTCAAGCCTGGGGAAAAAGTGGAACCATTGTAAGAAAACAGTTCACAGTTCCAGTCCAAAGCACTCCTTCCAGATCATTTTCAAAGTGTGCACTGCCTTATAGTATACCACTTCAAAATGCTTCTACAGTAAGAAGGATAAAATGTACTATAAATGAATAAAATATTGCAGAACCATTTCAGCTGCAATCACTTAAGTAAAGTAGTGTTGTAAAGTGGGAAAGGAAGGTACTCTACCTCAAATACCATTAATTAAAGGATCAAAGAGGGTGGCTTTCTTACCAGGAAAAAATCAGAGAAATACACAGAAAAGTGTCCAAAGCCAGCAAAATGGTTGTTTCAATCATTGCAGAATGCAGTATTCACAAGTAGGTTCTGCTTTGTGGAGGAACACTGAAGGAGTTTCATCAAATGCACAAAGTGAAGTGCTTCTTCAAGGCTCTACACAGGCTCCTTGTTACGATATTTATCTCTCTGAATACAGCTTTGAATTGATGGGGTTGTTTCCAAAAGCAGTGACAAGATCGTAACAACCATCCTAGATCAAACCAAAGCAGATCTAGCCCAAGATTCTGCTTTCTAGAATGGCTGACTAAATGTTAATAGAAGCCCACACAACAGAATCTTTCTGCTCATATGCTTTGGAAATTGTTATCAAGTGATTGTTTCCAGGGTGGATAAAAATCATTTTTTAAAAAATAAAAATAAATCAGATTTTAAAAATTAAAGTCAGATTTTTTTTATTTAAATTGTATTTTTTAATTTTTTTATCAAATTTACTTTAATAAAATGCTTTTGGAGTAAAAATGTATCTCAAGTTTTCTATTTAAGATACACTAATAATTTAGTTTATTCAGCATGAAATGGAGCTCAGTTATGTAGCACGAGGCTGTATATTCTGCAATACTATGACTGTCAGTGAGTCAACAGCGGGTCAGAGGAGGAGCCGCTTCGGGACAGAGATGACTGTTGCTCTTTAAAAAAGCCTTTTTACTAGTGATTTAAATCAACTTGTTTTAAATCAAACCACCCCAATTGTTTCTGAAACTAGTGGCAATGTTTAGTCTTTAATTTCTAGCCACTGATAGTCTCGTTCCCCCTTTGTTCAATAACATACTTAATATTTATATACATTCCGTTTCCCTGAAAATAGGACCTCCTAGATAAGAAGCCCAATCGGGCTTTTGAGTGCATGCGCTAAAATAAGCCCTCCCCCCAAAATAAGCCCTCACTGAAAATATAGCAACACAGCAGTAGCCATGAGGTGACCACGCTCGCCACCTCAAAAATAATAAGACCTCCCAAAAAATAAGGCCAAACGTTTATTTCAGGAGTCAAAAGAAAATAAGATCCTGTCTATAGATTATACATAATCTATATTTATATTTTGCATTTGTATCTTCGACAAGTTAACCATGCACTGTATAATGAAATACATCTATTTAATTTCAAACTTCCATCATCCTGCCATTTTGCATGATGGTTAAGGCCTAATATTGTAAGAAGAAAATGTATTTACATCATGCATCAGTTTATAAAGCTCTGACTAGGGAGTTACACTCTTGTTTGGCTGCAGCCCACACTTTAGAGAGTTATGCTGAGAAATGCACCACAAGAAATAAATACTACCACGTTAAACTTGATTAGGAGGGAAAAGTTAATCTAGTGTAAATATAAATGGCATATATTAAACATGACTACCATATTGTGTTCTCAACATTAACAACCATAATTAATTAGGAAATGTTGGTCAAATTATTTTGCATGTTTCTCACTCAGAAATATTATTTTTGAGATATTTAACAGCCTAAATCCATTATTATCATGAGGAGCTTTTAGTCAGAGCTATCATTTTTCCTGATTTTGTATATTCCAAGCATAATATAGTTTAGAGTATATTTGGGCTTACAACCATATGTAATGCAGCTTAGGTCTCAAGTCTATTCATTTATCTCCCTTAGTAAAGCAAGTTATAGCTTTCCAAAGCTAAAATTTGAAGTCTTCAGTTAAGCATTTTATGTAGCTATGCTAGGTAAAATTTCAGAAACTGTTACTACTACTGAGTTACATAATAATTTATTATATAGTGTATTAAATGTATAACATGCAGCTCCACTTCTGAATTCTGCTTCCAGTAAAGTAAACAAGGAAGGGGTAAAACGTAATTCCTCCCAACATTTACTTCACTAAATATCTCCTCCATACATTTAAAAAAAGCTCCATTAATGCCAATGGAGTTAGTTCTGGGATCACCTGAGGAAACAGAAATTGTATTATGCAAATTATACATATAACTTTGCAATCATGCCTTTTGTACAGATAACTATCAGGACTGGGTCTTTACATGCTTAGTTTAACTCCCACATCCAATTCTTAATACAAATCTCTG